TACCCCAAAGATACAAAGGTAGTGATCCAAAGGGGCACATGCACCCCAATGTTTATAGCAGCAATGTCCACAATAGTCAAACTATGGAAAGAGCCTAGATGTCCATCAACAGATGAATGGATAAAGAAGATGTGGTATATATATACAATGGAATAGTATGCAGCCATCAAAAGGAATGAAATCTTGCCATTTGCAATGCCATGGATGGAACTAGAGAATATTATGCTAAGTGAAATAAGTCAATCAGAGAAAGACAAGTATCATATGATCTCACTGATATGAGGAATTTGAGAAACAAGACAGAGGATCATAGGGTAAGGGAGGGAAAAATAAACAAGATGAAACCAGAGAGGGAGACAAACCATAAGAGACTCTTAATCTCAGGAAACAAACTGAGGGTTGCTGGAGTGGAGGGGGGTGGGAGGGATGGGGTGGCTGGGTGATGGACATTGCGGAGGATAGATACTATGGTGAGCACTGTGAATTGTGTAAGACTGATAAATCACAGAACTGTACCCCTGAAACAAAAAATACATTATATGTTAATAAAAAAAATTTTTTTAATAAATAAATGTAAAAACTGAAACCATAAATCTCCTAGAAGAAAACACAGAGAAAATTCTTCTTGACATTGGTCTTGGCAATTATTTTTTCTGGATAAGACACAAGTAATAACAACAACAACACACAACACAGTAAAAAAGCACAAGTAATAAAAACAACAACAAAATTAGTAAATGGGACTGATCAAATAAAAAAGCTCTGCACAGCAAGAGAAATAACCAACAAAATGAAAAGGTACCCTGCAGAATGGAAGAAAATACTTGCAAATCATATATCTGATAAGGATTAATATCCAAAATATTTAAAGAACTCATATAACCCCAATAGTAAAAAAAACAAACTATTCAGAGAGGAACCGAATAGACATTTTTCCAAAGACGACATACAAATAGCCACAGGTGTATGAAAAGATGCTCAAAATCACTAATCATCCGGAAAATGCAGATCAAAACCACAACAAGGTACAATTTCACATCTGTTAGAATAGCTATCATCAAAAAGACAAGAGATAACAAATGTTGACGAGGATGTGGAACAAAGGAAACCCTTGCACACTGTTGGTGGGAATGGAAATTGGTTCAGTCACTGTGGAAAACACTATGGAAGTTCATCAAACAATTAAAAATAGGGGTGCCTGGGTGGCTCAGTCGGTTAAGCGTCTGACTCTTGATTTTGGCTCAGGTCATGATCTCAGGGTCCTGAGATCAAGAGCCGATTCTGATTCCGCGCTCAGTGGGGAATCTGCCTGAGATTCCCTCCCTGTGACCCTCTCCACCCCCTGCTCTCTCTCTTTCTCTCTCTCTCCCCCTCCCTCCCTAAAAATAAATAAATAAATCTTTTTTAAAAAATTAAAAACAGAACTACTATACAATCCAGCAATCCTTTCTGGGTGTATCTCCAAAGGAAATGAAAATAAGGTCTCAAAGAGATATCTGCACTCCCATGTTCACTGCAGCATTATTCACAATAGCCAAGATATGTAAACAGTATCTATCAATGAATGAATGTATAAAGAATATGTGGTGTGTGTGTGTATATGTGAGTGTGTGTATATATATCATGGAATATTATTCAGCCATGAGAAAGAAGGAAATCCTGCCATTTGCAATAACATGGATGGACCTTGAGGGCATGATGCTAAATGAAATAAGTCAGACAAATCCTGTATGATATCACTTACATGTAGAATCTAAGAAAGCTGAATTCATAGAAACAGAGAGTAGAGTGGTGGTTACCAGGGGCTAGAGGAGAAGTGGAAGGAAATGGACAGATGTCGGTCAAAGGGTATATACAGTTCTAGGGATCTCATGTACATCATGGTGATTATAGTTAATAATACTGTAGTATACACTTGAAAGTTGCTAAGTGAGTAAATCTTAAGTGCTCTTCCCACAAAAAAGAAGTGGCAATTATGTGACATGATAGAAGTGTTAGCTAACGTTATGATGGTAATAATTTTGCAATATATTAGTGTATAAAATCAACACATTTGTACACCTTATGCTTACATAATGTTATCTGTCAATTATGTCTCAATAACCTGGGGAAAAAAGTTTGCACTCAAAAATTAATTAATTACCTAGCATTTGATTAAATCTACTTAGTTGTATATATGATGTGACATCTGAATATTTTTTTTTAGGTTTTTATTTAAATTCCAGTTAGTTAACATACAGTGTATTATTAGTTTCAGGTGTACAATTTAGTGATTCAACACTTATATACAACACCAGGTGCTCATCACAACATGTGTACTCCTTCATCCCGATCACCTATTTAACCCATTCCTATCCACCTCCCCTCTAGTAACTATCTGTTTGTTCTCTACAGTTAAGAGCCTGTTTCTTGGTTTGCTGCTCTCTTTTTTTCCCCTATGATGGTTTGTTTTGTTTCTTAAATTCCACATATGAATGAAATCAAACTGTATTTGTCTTTCTCTGACTGACTTACTTAGCTTAGTATAATACTCTATCTCTAGCTCCATCCATGTCATTGCAAATGGCAAGATTTCATTCTTTTTTATGGCTGAGTAATATTCCATTATATACATATACCACATCTTCTTTATCCATTCATCAGTTGATGGACATTTGGGCCCTTTCCATAATTTGGCTACTTTTGTTAATGCAGCTATAAACATCAGGGTGCATGTATCCCTTCAAATTAGAATGCTTTAGACAGAAATCAGAGGTTGTATTAGGCTGGAACACTTAGTACTATTCTATAATTAGTCAGTAATTTATAATGGAGTAGTTGTTAAATGAATACTGGCTATATAATCCTGCCAAGAGTAACTTGGCTTTATCAAAATTTAACCTTAATTTTTATACATAATGACGTTAAATGTTATTTTGAAACGAGTAAATGTATTATCTGTATGCACACTAGTATTACTATTGACATCTTTTAAAAAAATGTTTTGAAGTCTTTATCTAATAATGAGGGCAAAAAAACTTAGATCCAAGTCATGTGTTCTCTGACATTATGTCAGAGCTGTCTTTCTAAGTTTTTCAATAGCTTCAAGGATAAATATAAACCCCTTAGCTATTCAAGATTTAACTGTGATCTACATCGCTAGGCTTATCTGTGTCGTACTCTCATGTGTGCTCTTTATTCTAGCCATAAGAGAATTCCAGCAGTTCCTAAACTGCACCATGCAATTGTTGCTTTCCAGTTTGCTAAAGACTAGTTTCTCTATCCAAATGACTGTTTCCTTTTCATTCTTCATAAAGATATTTTCTAGCCTTCTGGTCAACTATCACTTCTCCCAGGAAGCCATCCCTAACTCTTGTTTATTATAGATACTCCTCTTCTGTGTGCCTACAACAGAAACTGAGCCCACTTCTGTTACATTTATTAATCTCAACTGTTACAATTGGCTTACTTACTAGAAGCTCAAAATTAGAGGTTTTATCTTATTTATACTAAACATAATATGGTTCCTGGATCTTAATAGGTACTCAATAATTATATTGCTTGATTGAATTAACAAAATATCAATAATTGACTATAACTCAAACAAAATTAATTTAATTTTTTAGAAGTATACTAATTGATTTGCTATGCGGGGTATAAAGCAATAATGAAAGGTATCTATTGATATTAAGCAGGGAAAAGAAAAGAATGAAATTTATCTGGAAAACACTCCAACAAGAACATAATTTACAAATTATTTACTATTCTTGAACTTATCTTAAAAATGATGCAGAACAAATTATTTGCTTTGATCACTACTACCTTGCAACTGGTCAAGAAGCACAACAGCTATCCGGTGCTGGGCTTGAATTAGTTCAAGATGCAAATCCATCATGAAAGAATTTGGTGTGACTGGTTTGCAAATGTCTCCATCTATATCCTGGGTGTACTTTGGTAGGATTGAAGCAAAAATAAAAAAGAAATACAGTTATCAAAACATACTAAAAATAGCTCTATCCTATTACCACTCAAGTTAGCATTTTACTCTACGCCATTAAATTCTGCTCATTTCTCAACTCTTTGCAATCTGGTTCACATGCTAATAAACCTGCTTTTCAAGTTCACCAGTGGCCTCTTCAGTAACAAATTTAAAGACTCCTCACTCTCCTTGATTTCTTCTGGGAAGAGGGGAATAGATTTCTGGCCTATGAGAATGAGGCCACCACAAATCACACTTTACTCACCTACTTGCAAAGCCAGTCCTCTTCCTAGCTAAGTAACAAACACTTCAGTTTCATGTAAGAGTTTCCCATTTACCTTGGCATAGCAATGGTCAATCACTGATGATCCATTTGGCAAAGTAGTTAACATGCAATTCAAGTTTATTCCATCAATTGCTTTGTCAAGAAGTTCATAAGCCAAAAATAACTGTTCCACGGGTTTCTTCTAAAGTAATTTTATAAACAAAACAGAAAAATAACATGTAAGGAAAAATCACATACAACATTTTCAAACTTCTTTCAATAATAACTCAAACCAAGTAATAAATTTAAATAATCTATCCAATATCTACAATGTTATATTTTTTACTCAGTGTATCTGTCTTTGATTAAATGTGGAGTACTACTGATAAAAGTGAAATAATAAATACAATTCATCATTTTTCCAAATATAAATTAAGCTTTTCATAAACATGTATATGTCTTCCTTTTATGGTTTTCAAAATTCTGACTGTACCAAATGTATAGGTAAATTTTTAAAATACAACCCTCATAATTTGTCATTTTCACACACTTCATTTTGAAAGTTAATTTTTTTTTTTTAAATCTCAGAGCTGGAAATTTAGATGTAGAGGCCATCAAACCCAATGGCGTATATCATGATTTTCAAAAACTAAATACCTTTACATTCTAATTATTCTGATAGAGAGACAAATACAGAGAATAATATAACGAGCACCCGGCTTTGTTCAAACTTTCAAATTTCGCGTATTTCTCCAGAAAATTTTTAGGAAATAAAGCAAACACATACATGCAGATAACTGAAATCCTCTATAGAACTGTCCACATGACAATCCTTTTCTCTGCTCCTAAAGGAAGCCACTGTGCTTTGGTTTTTACCATTCTTCGGCGTGTTTTTAAACTTTTACCACATGTGTATGTATCTATTAACAATATGCAATATTGCTTGCCTACTTTTTAATTCTGTCAGAAAATTTTGCAGTTCACTTTATAGGCTCAAACATATGTTGTTGCAATTTTTTCATGCTGGTGTATGTAACTCAATGTGTCAGAGTTTGGTTAGGAACACAGAACAACTGGAGATACTCTCAAGCAGAAAGGGATTGGATACACAGAATTAGAGGTGTCTATCACTGTTGGAAGGCCTGGGGGAACAAAGGCCAAGGAAGCTGCCAGTGACAATTTGGCTGCGTGCACGAGCCTCTGTGAATCTAAGAATCAAGGAGCAGCTGACAACAGCTGCGAGTGTCTGTCACACCATGTGCGCCAAGTGAATTGCAAGAGCTTGCTCAGCACCTCTGGTAAATAAACTTCTTCCATCTGCCACTGCCAAGTAAGAACTCTGTCTTCCCTTCATTATACATTCCTGCAAATGCTCCTCATTGGAAGACTAGCCTAGAAGCACGTAGAAATGAGATGCTGGGAAATGCAGTTCCAGCTTTTCCCCTGTGACACAAAGGTGACTAAAGAAGGGAAGGGCAAGGATGCCAAGCTGACTCTAGTTCAAGCCCACACTAATTCATTCATCCTTACGGCCACAGTGAAATAGTGCGATGCTGAGGAACATGTCACAATATACTTATCCACTCTTCTACCGATGGGCATTTAGATTGCTATTACTAAAAATGTGTAATGCATTGTACTAGTCTGTGGATTGAGACAAGGCTGGTATTTGCTTTACAGTCCTTATGCCTTTTTTATCTGCTTTCTTTCTCAGCTGACTAAGATCTCTAGGACATGTTGAACAGAAGAATGACAGATATCCTATGTCATTACCTCAGTATAAAGGGATTGCTTTTAATCTTTTACTATAGGTATAACATTCATTACAGGTCTTTGAATGATACCCTTTATGGGAAAAAAAGTTCTCCTCTATTCCTGACTTAAGAGTTATTTTTTAAAGATGGCTGTTGAATTTTGTCAAATGTTGTTGTTGCATCTTTTTTATCTAGTGAGGTAGTCGTATTTCTTCCTTTCGTCTGCTAATGCGGTGTATTGCATTATATTTTCTAATGTTAAATCATCCTTGCTTTCCTGGAATATAAACAATTTGATTACACACATCCATTCAAAGATATATAGATATATATCTCCATTCAAGAATCACAGGCCCAGGGAGGTTCTCATGCAACTCAAGTAATGTAAATTCAAAAAACAGACCTACTCACGTGAAAGCAGGCCCAGGATTATAAATCATTAGGAAGAAAGACTCTCTCCCACCCACCCACCTCCAGTACCCATGTGGAGATACCTCCCCATACAAACAGGCAGATTGGTTTTCTTCTGGTCTCCCTTCTCTAGAATGTGGTCTTTTGGAGGTCATAATTTTAATGTGTAAGTCTCAGTTCCAAACCCCCATCTTTCATGTGCCCACACTTCATATCTTGTCACTGAATGGCTATTAATCTGAGCTTTTTTATAACTGAGCCCATCAACCAACTGCAGCATCTACTCATAAAATGACCATTCTAGTTTTCAGTTCCCCTTTCTTGGCCCCTGGAATTTATCTTACTTTCTTGTGAGCGCCACAATGTGCTTGAGGATATTTGTTCAATTCTGCCCAAAATTTCTAGGTGCTTTGTAGAACAGGGTTTTCAGCTCACCCAGTTTGCCCTTTTCCCAGAAACAGAAGTCTCTAAGGATGCCTTTTTAACACCAAAAAATTTCAAAGACCCTCCTCCACACACACCTACATTCTCTCATCAACATCATCACCATCACTATCACTTTTGTTATTTTTGTCATTATTATAGCTAACATTTAATTAAACTATGTTCCAGATACTGGACTAAATGCTTTACAGGGACTAATTTTTTAATTGCCATTATCCTATGAGGTAGATACCTACTAATTATTGTAATTTTATAATACATTTATTGAAAGAACTAGCTGCTATGTATTCAGTAAAACTTTTAAATAAGCTTTGAATGTGATTAATATAAACACCTCATTTTTTTTTAAATAGTTGCATGTATATATGCAAGATGTATAATTTATCCCACCTACAATCTCTGATAGGTGAGCATACAGATTTTGGATTCTCCTTACAATAAATTCTCACTTCTTCTCTCCACTTCACTCCCCTCCAGATGGGTCTGAGACCCTAAGTTAAGATTCAGTGCTCTACATAAAACATAAGAGAAAAACTGAGTAGCTACCATGTGCCAGGTACTGGTTTCTGCAACATTACCAATACCTCATTTAAACTATGTAACTTAAATAATACCAGTAGAATTGGTTCTATTGTTATAATTTTACAGATGAGGACACTTACATTTAAACAGATGAAATAATTTGCTCAAGATCACACTGTCAATTTAAGAGTCAAGATTCAACTCTGGAAAAGGGGAACCCTCCTACACTGTTGGTGGGAATGCAAGCTGGTGCAACCACTCTGGAAAACAGTATGGAGGTTCCTCAAAAAGTTGAAAATAGAGCTACCCTACAACCCAGCAATTGCACTACTGGGTATTTAC